TGAACTCAGGTCCCCATGCTTCTGTGACTGGGGTATTTCCCCAGCCAAAAAAGTACTTTAAATTATGAATTCTCTCGGGATACTAAAGCTAGGAGAAATCTTAGATATCACAGCATGCAATACCATCAACTCACCGGTGACAAAAGACGAAGCCCAGGTGGACAGCTTAGCCCAAACCATATTGTGAAAACCGTAAGCGACGGAGTGAGGGAACTGCCTCTACACCTCACAACATGCTGCTCTCCACTTATCCAAGTCTGGAGCCACGGCTGAGGCTGGGAGTGCCTGCCCAGTGGCTGAACTCTGCCTCCTGCCTTCTAGAAAGTGCAGAGCCACCAAACTGCAAACACTCCGAAGAGCAAAAGGACTTGTGTTGAAAAGAACCTTCTTTCGAAGGCAGAGGAGGAGGAAGACTTAAGGGGCCCACACTTTGCATCACTGACACTTCCTTTATGGATCTAACATTCCCTTCCTACATGATCAGGTAGGAAATGGGTTGAAAATTTTCAGAGAGCAACAAAAAGCCTTTTAATGCCTCCCAAAGAAGTCAAATACAAACTGCTAATGGTTAATACCTCAAGTATCTACATGCTTCTCCTATTACTAAAGGGTAATGGTAAGAAAACTTACTTTGGCCTATTTTTAGATTACATATACATCTTCACTAAGAGACCGGATCTCGCTTCACCTCCTCACAGTGAGTAAAACCAATTTTGCTTAAATTTCAATATCCAAAAGGCGTCTCAAAGAGAACTGTACGCACAGAAATGAAAAATAAGTCAAAGGAATAGTGGACAATAGAGTCAAGTACCATTGGCAGTGACCTTCAGTCCAGGCTCTTCACACTCACCACTGCTCTCCCTATTAAACACCTACGAGGTTTCCCGCTCCACCAGCCTCACGGCTAAACACTGCGGTGTTGGATTTCCAATATTGAAGCTTTATATTAAAAGGCATTTTAAAAGGACCACGGGTGGAGCCTTACAGGGCCCAGGAGTATTTCGATACCCTCAAAAGGAAAACCACCTCCTGGAAGGGAAGTCACCACTGAGCCTCCAGTGGGAAAATGTGAGCTCATGTGGTTAATTATGGCAATTGCAGGCCATGCAACCTCAGATGTCACATTCTGCTGCCAATCATTTTAGCTGAAAACCAAAAGGCTTAAAAGTTCCCAGCATTCTGAGATCTGAAAGCCTTTTTACCTGCCAGCGCCAAAACATGGCCCTCTGAGGTGTGCTTTTCCAGCAAGCATTAACGACGTCTGCAACACCTAACACAGAGGAGAGGTGTGGGTTTCCTATGCTGCTCTGGGAGGAGAAAGGTCACAAATGACAGTTCTGTTGGTGAGAGGAGGGCTTGGAGCAACGGGATGAACTGGAAGGTCCGTGAGACGATACTAATCCAACAGGGTTCCAAGGACTTGAAAGCAAATCGAAACCCCGCAGTCCCCTCACAATAGGTATTTCTGATTTGTTTTTAAAATGTAGGATGCCACTCAAAACTGGAGCTTTTGTGTAATTTTTATGATTAAAAAATGCACAAACACACAACAGCTACACAAACTATAAATCAATTCAATGTTCCTTTGAGTGGTATGCCGGACAAACTGTTCATGTTGCCCGAGTCTGAGCACAGTGAGTGATCTCAAAGCTCTCACCATCCCGCTTTTCCAGTCCCCGAGGCAGCTCGGCTGGTAGGGGACCAAACGCCCACTGATCCAGACAGGACAAAATATTTAAGACTCTAATCACTGCCACAGCATTTATGGAATCATTCCATGTTCTTAGTGAGACACTGTTTGACATATGGACTCTCCTTTCCAAGAAATCATGCCTGAATGAAGGGACACAGACACAGAGGACATCTGGGTCTCATTACCACAAAAGGTTCTTGTGTTATAGATTACTTAAAAACACACAAGCACAAACACTGGGGCTTGGGGTTTTTGTTTTGTTTTGTTGTTTTTCTTTTCTCTTTTTAAACTAAGTGTCTCAGTCAATGGAACTCAGAGGAACATTCTTTTCTGGACACTTCCCTCCCATTGTGTCCAGCTCTCTCTGGCATACTCTAACAATCACCCATTCGGAAAAGCATAATAAATCCTGGGCCCCTTGGTGGAGTTTCCCAAAAATTACTGACCCATACAGTGTTAATCCTTACCTAGCTGAGGCTCAGGGACATCATAAGAAAATCAGCTGGAAGTTCCTCCCCTAGAACCTCTCCCAGAATGCACTAAGTCTTTAAAGACTTGGAAGGTCATTATGCAAAGACAAGGAAGAAAATGGCATCAGGACAGGAAGAAGACAGACCTTAGATTCAGGCAGATCAGGGCTAACTTCATTCAGCTTTGCCTCCAGTGAGTCCTTGGATGGAAAAGTTTTGAAATTTTCAAAGCCTCAATCTCTCTCTCTCTCTCTCTCTCTCTCTCTCTCTCTCTCTCTCGTGCGCACGGGCTCTCTTTCTCCCTCCCTCCCCCTCTCTCTTTCTCTCTCTCTCCTCTCCCTCCCTCCATCCCCCCTCACTGAGACAAACAAACAATATCCCCAAAGCAATTCTCGGCCCACAAGAGGAGTCTCACCGCACTAAAGTAATAACAAAATCAAACACCCCTGTACTTCATTGCAATTTTTGAAACAGTCTCATGTAATGAAAGCTGGCTTTGAACTCCTGCTCTTCCTGCCTCCAAGAGTTGGAATTACAGGTACCTGATCAATATCTTCTTGACGTTACTGCATTTCTGCTCACCTGACTTCAATCACCCTCTTACCCTCCTTTCAACAGGGATATGAGTTGTTTCTGAAAACAGCTCAGACATTCTCTGGTTCAAGAAGCAGTTTACCTGGTCCCCCAAGAGATTATTCCCACTTGGAGTCTCTAACATAGACTATGTATTCAATAAGCACTTCTTGCCTGGCTTGATCACATATCTGGTCCCACCACAGGACTACAATCTCGCCGAGGCTAGATCAATGCCCTGGTCCTCTCTGTATTCCTTAGCATCTGGCTGGTAGATAACCAACAGGCATCTATGTTGTTAGACCACATAAGTGTCCTGCAGAATGTAAACACGAGGCTACCCTATGTCCTTCTTGAGACTGCTGACCCCCAGGGGACACAGGGAGTGGACTGAAGAGGACCTCAGACTAAAATTAAACGTTTGTTTCATCTTATCTCCCATTTCACTCTTCAGCGACTTCACTGAAGGGCTACTGTGCATTTGTAAAGGACTGGAGAATATATTTGGCTTTACTGAGCATTCTAAGTGTAGATAGCTATGGAAATCACGAGAAACAAGGCACTTCAAAGAAAACCAAAATAGAACCAAGACCCTTGCTGAGCAGACCAACAACAGAGCACCACTAACACTATCCCTGCTCCCATCAGGTCATTCCCTACCCAGCAGCCAGAGGGATCGACAGCACAGCACAGTGCACGCAGCTCAGTGCACGCCACAGCCCCTCAGAAGCCCTTTAAGCACTGGCCATGTGCTGAGAAGGAAAGAGGAACCCCTTCCAGCGACCTCAGGCCCTGCCGGCCTCTCTCCTGCCTCTCTCAGCCTCTTCTCTTGGTGCTTACTATGTTCCAGTCACATAGATCTGGTCTTCTCTCTCCTTCCTTCCTCTCCCATTTGCAAGCAATTCCAACTATATTTCGTGAGGACTTCCTATAAGAAAAGCTTTTTCAAATGTCATCTCATTCAATCATCCCAAGGAATTAGCGATGCAAATAATCCAGGAAAGAAACAAGCTAAGAGAGTACATCATTTGCCTAAAATAGCAGTCTTTTCTCCAATACTCCAATCCTGAGTTTTTCAAGTATGCCAAGGCCCCCTCTACCATGACCTCTGACCTTTGAACTTAAGCCCTCTCCAGTTATAACCTGATTCGTTCTTTCAGCTTTCAAATTCTGTGTTAAGTGTTGTTCCTTAGAGTGGTCTCCTATGAATATTCAAAGTAGTTTTCCTCACTGTCTGACAACACATTGTCTTGTTAAATGTATGGTTATTAATTACATCCTTATTGATTGGCTGTTTCCTTCAGTAGGCTGTAGGTTCATGAAGGGCAGAACATGTTTGCTTTTTTTAATAATTACACCCTCAGAGCTCAGCACAGTGTTTGGCATATAGGTACTCAGTAAATATATTTTTAGTTATTATTTTAATTTATGTGTATGGGTGTTCTGCCTGCATATATCTGTGCATCATGTTCATGCCTGATGCTGTAGAGGCGCTGGATCACCATGAACTGGAGTTACAGATGGTTGTGAATTGTCATGTAGGTGCTGGGAATCAAACCCAAGTCTTCTGGAAGGGCAGCCAGTGCTTTTAGCTGCTGAGCCATCTCTCTAGCCCCCAGCAAAATTTTTTTTTTTTTAATGAGTAAGGAAAATAATGCACCATGGGCTTTAGGACATCACAACTTTGCATAGAATTAACACCAAAGTGCACCGTTGACTGAAGGAAGTTTGAGGGTCAGTGTGCCACGGTTAACCTACCCAGCTCTGTTGCTAACACCATTCCTCAGGCTGCCCTCGCTTTCATAAGCATTAAAATAAATCAAAACCCAAGCTTTGACAGACCTGGTGTGTCCAATTCTCACAGCAATTACACAAGACTGGCTAGAAACGAACTCAACCACGACATGGCTTACAGAAGGGGCCAGAACTAGAACCAGGATTGCCATCTCCTGGTTATCACTGTCCTGATAGCATGTCTCGGTGTTATCCATGTGTTATGTGAGCAGACAGGGGTGACTAATTAAACTCCACTTGAATGTTTATGACCACAATAGCAATGTTCTTTAAAGGGAAGTGGCCAGGCAGTGGTGGCGCACGCCTTTAATCCCAGCACTCGGGAAGCAGAGGCAGGCGGATCTCTGTGAGTTCGAGGCCAGCCTGGTCTCCAAAGCGAGTTCCAGGAAAGGCTCCAAAGCTACACAGAGAAACCCTGTCTCAAAAAAAAAAAAAAAAAAAAAAGGAAGTGGAAGGACATCCTGATGGACACTAATAAGGTCCTCTCCTTGAAGTTCTGTGATGCCCAGTTGGCTTTGGGAATACTCTACAGGGCACATTAGGAGACCTGCAAGCAGTATTTAGGCTATGGGGGAAAACAATACAGTTTGATAACAATGCAAAGAGTCTCTTGGTCTGGGGAGAGGGCTGGATGGGTACATAAAGGGCTTGCTGTGCAAACATTAGCTCAGATCCCCGGCACTCACATGTATATGTATATGCATATATGTAAATGAACATGTATACACTGAATCTGAATGCTGTAATCTCTCTAGTGGAAAAAAAAAAAGAAACAAGAATTCAACCAATTAAAGTTATGCTAATAGGAATACCATAAGATAAAATCTCAAATAGTTTTCAGAATGGTAACAATATGATCATAAACAACAGACTAATTCCTGCTCTAACTCTGCTCCTAGCTATACATAGATTTTCATAAAAAGCAACTAAAAAGACCAGAATTACTATTCTGATAACTGAAGACCATTAATTTTTTTCTTAATTTCAAATACAAGGTTCAATAATTATTTGTCCTAAGATTAGGCTAAATATTTTGTTACATTTCCTACCAAGGAAGCAAATTCTGTGTACTTTTAACTGGGAAGGGACAGAAATTCTAAAATCCCCTTTGGACAAAGTGCTAGGTATCCATTATCAAAATAATGCTATTCCAATAACTGTTACATTTAACCAAATCTTTAGAAGTAAAAAAGAAATAAAATACCTTGGAAGTCCTCAGAATTAGGCAACTTGACACCACATACAAAATAATCCTTATGCTCATTCTGTGAATTTAATCAAAGAATGAAATTAATTCATTGTTCTAAAAAGCAAAGAAGCCACTAGGTCAAATCTAGAATTCATCAGAGCCAGTGTCATATTTAAGAGGCAGCGTGGGAACTGTTTGGGCTGAGGAGGAGACATGGCGACTGTCAGGCCACACTCTCCTGCATCTGTTATACTTGGCATTTTCCTCATAAAATCACAGGTCCATCACCCAAAGAAAAAGGCATGTGAAAGTAACACCATAAAACATCTTCCTGCCGGGCACGGGGCGCATGTCTGTAATCCTAGCACTTGGGACAAAGAAGCAGGAAGACTAAGAGTTCAAAGGTCATTCCTAGCTGCATAGCATGTTTAAAGAAGCCTGAATTACATGATTTCCATTTTAAAAATAAAAAAAAGAAACATTCTGGCTAACCCATATCCATTCCATATATAATTTAACAAGATTTTGTGAGCAAATTCAAATTCTATTGTTTTTTCCTCTGAAAATTAGTCTATTAAGTAGATCACCATTAACAAAGACATTATCAAATTTAGAAGACTTGGTTTTCTAAATAACAACTCTAATTAGTTTTATTTTGTTATCACCTTTTATATTGATTTTAAAAAATTACGTTCAAAATTCATGAATTAATGAATGAATGACAGTTATCTCAGGAATACTGAAATAAACACCAATACACATAGGTCACTTAGCAATTATGTCTTAAAGCAGAGCATACACATCAGAAGACACGTGTCAGAATAGTGGATAACTAGTTGAATAAAAAGATTCTGAAGGAACCAGAAATAATCTGGCATTCTTTTTGATGATGACAAATCCTATCTGTCAAGCTGATATATATAAAACAATCAAATTATGGATTTTGAGGCCAAGTAAATGTGTGTGCCTGCATGTAAGAGAGGGAGGCCAGAGGTCAACTCTGGGAAGTGTTCCTCAAGATGGTTGTCCACCTTGCTTTTGAGACAGGGTCTCTCAACAGGACCTGGGGCTAACTGTGTAGACTGGCTGGCCATCGAGTCCAGGGATCCTCCTGTCTCTGCCTCCCCAGCACTGGGACAAGAGCAAGCTGTCATGCCCAGCTTTTCACTTGGGTTCAAGGAATGGACCTTGAGTCTTCATGTCACGCTTGTGTGGTGAGCGCGCTGAGGGTGGGGCTGTCTTCCCAGCCCCCAACTGAGACTTACTACACTTTCCAAGTAGGTGCTAGCTCTTGATGTTCTCCTGAACCATGAGAGAGCACAGGGAGGGATGGCTTTGTCACCGAAAGGAAATTTCAAGTGGAATCATCTTTCCAAAAAACCCCACCTTTTCAGGAGTTTGAAACTTACCAAATCAATAGGGTAAATGTAGGAAAGCTCAGAGAGTAACTGCCTGCAGCGGATTGTCAACTGAGCATTAGTCTTCAGAAAGAGTTCTCTAATGAGGAAAAAGGAAAAGTACATTCATGAAAAAATGCTTGTATGTTTTCTAACACTTATTTCTACCCAATTAATTCAGAGAAGATTAAATGGTCTTTAATTGGCCAGAGAATTTCAGCAGTGGAGGCAAGAATGATAGCCACCCTGAGTCCGACCCGTTTCCAACACTGCCAGTTGTGTTTACTTCATACTGTGGGCTCCTGTGTGTGCGCAGCACTGTGCCAAAAGCTCTAAAGGATATAACAACCAAATACCCATGCCCTGAGCACCTCCCACTACATACCAGGAGCTCTACAAATGTTTGTTCAGTTATTCCAGTGACCACAGCGGGCTATCACTATACTCACTCCCGATGAGGAAGCAAGATTTGGAGCGGCCTAGTAAACATTTAATAACCAGTAATTCAGTGAAGCTGATTGATGTCAGGATTTATATATATGGCATTTCCTTAATTGAAAAAGAAAAAAAAAAGTCAAAGTATCCTTTCACAGCTACATGTTACAGCTGTCTCAAGAAACACCATGTTATAATATAAGAAAAATAGTAAAATAAAATGAATAGCTGAGCAAAAACCCAAGGTATCAGGTAAGATGGACTCATGAGACACACAATTTTGCTTGCGGGAAAATCTGGGCTCTAAAGTGTTGTGAAGTCAGTGTGTTTAGTGTGTCGGAAAACCGGACTACTCTCCTGTGCGAAGAGCACTCAACACTCGGCGGCTCTCCGTGAGCTGGACAGAGCGACTTCTCAGAGCCTGGCCTTCCTACTGCACACTGGGGTAAGAACAGATTTCTCTGCTTTGTCTAGGTCTAAGGATTCTCAACTACTGAAGTTCCTCAAGGAAAACTGTGACATGACAGAACTTGCCCCAGAGGTGAGTGAAGGGAAGAGAAAGAACAGAGGTGACCATGAATTTGGGAGAGAGGGGAAATTGTCATCATTTTATGTTGAGGGAAAAACTAAAATTAACTGTAGCTGTACAATGCCAGTTTGTTGAAGGGTATTTGAAAATTAAGCAAAGAGTCACCATATTGGGACGAGAAAAATATGGGAAAGATGGTATTTTAAGAGAAAAGTCTTGATAGCAGGACTGGGGGTGGGGTGGGGGTTGAAGGGGTGGGGGATGGTCAGGCCTGGAAAGCTGGAGAGACGGGTGATTAGAGAAACGTTCTAGGTATTGCTGAGGTAATCAAGTGTGCTATCAAGAAGCAGAAGTCTGAAGAAATCACTGAGGACAGCAAGCCAGCTGCACTGCCCGGAAGACAGGAGAGACCAGGACGGAAGTAGCAGCCACAGTGCTGTGGCCTGGGCCCTGAGAAACAGTGTTGACATTTCTAGCACAGGACAGACACACAGTAGGTGGTCACAAGTATCTGCTGAGTCAGTGAGCGGGGTGCTGCTTTTCCCGTGGCCCCTGTGCAGGAGCTCACACTCAGGGAAGCCAGCTCACCGTTTCGCAGTGCACTCCTTCCTCAGCTCGCTCAGGGATTCCTTCTGGTGCTGAAGCTTGCCGTGCTCGGTTGAAAATGCGCTTCCTACAAGGGGCAGGAAGGAAGGAGACAGTGACCGATCTAACA